AACCATACAAACAACTTCTGTAATTATTTTGAAAAATAACCTATGTAATGCCTGGGCACATTTCAGTGAGATTTGTCTCATTTTGCCACTAATCTTCCATTTATTCCAGTACTGCTTATGAAGTCTCATGTTCCTTTGATAACACTTGATAAAGACTCCCTTTGTTCCCACCTTTTCTCTCTGGAGAAAAAGTCACACTCCTTGCTGTACTCACCATGCTCATAACATCTCTGTTAAATGACTCCAAAGACATTCTTTGCTGAATTGGGTTTCAATAAAGGGCTGCTTTAAGGAGTCTTGACTGACTTCATCTGTGTTAAAATAAATGAAAATGCCATAGCATCTGTTCAGGTCAGGTCAGCACAGCTAGTTTATATATAATAATAAGATTATTCCAATTATCAGTAGCTCTTTATCTCAGCACTACAATAGCCTTTGCTATTGACTTGAGCCATAATCCCAGCTCAGCAAAACCTATTTCTAGACATTGTGATCTAGACGTAGTGACGGAAGCTTAAAAATATTTAGTAGAGCTAAAAAATATAGAAATATAGATAATAATCTGCATTCTGCCTTTCAGTTTTTGGATAGGTTCATGCTACAATCACAGCCAAAATTTTCTTCTCTCACTCATCCCAATGCCAGAAACAATCACATGATATCACAAAGGGCACTTCCCTTCCATCAGGGTTAGGATGATATCCTATGTTCTTCATTATTTAGAAATGATCATAATATTTTTAATAATATGTTCAAGGTCTATTTGTTTAACTACTTAATGCTACACTGTACCTCTAAGGTTTGCTTGGATTTAGAGCTATTACTTTCAGGAAAGAGTAAAAAGACCCTTAACTACAGTATAATTGAAATGCGCACAACAGAGTCTATTTGTCTGCAAATTTAGTGCATTTACTTAGGCAGTTATTATTAATTTCTAACCTGGGAGCAGAACTGCCTTCCATGGGGACAGATGATGGTGCACAGTGAGCTGAACTACTCAGAAAGCACCTCCCAGCCTGCTGCTGTGCACAGCCCTGTATTTAAGACTGAATTAAACCTGACAAAATACTTGTAGATACAATGTCAGTGTTCCTCAATTCCCCAAGCACTGTAATCAGGGTAGTCTTTTTCATCTAAAAGAGCTTTGCACAACACTGAGGTTCCAAGAGCTCCCTCAGTACCATAATATTGGAGGAAAACTGGGCACAGCTTTCCTTCAGAGACCCCAAGGCTCCTTGGACTCTGCTATCAACAAAGCTGAATTTGTTCAAGGATTGATCAGCAGAGCAGTAACTCACTGAAATGCATGGCAAATCCTCCAGTGCTGATTTTACAGACAGTGAGGTCAATGATTCCAATAAATCAACTTCATTCATGCTGTCTATAAATAAGTAACATCCCGAAGTGGGAAGAAGCTGGCTCATGTTTTAGTGTTGTGCTTGTTCTGAAAGCTTTGGGAATTGCCATTTTCATTCAGTCATTTCTGGATCAGATGCACTCTGCTTGATCTTCTTAATCCACTTCCACTGCTTTCGTGTTCTCTGTCATGTAGGCTGGCCAACACTAAAGTCTATCTTCTCAATGTACTTTGAAAGATTTGCAGCACTTCATATCAGCTGTTTGAATAAAAATGATTAGTGGACAGATACCTCTCTTCTGCTAGCTTTCTCTGCACAGCAAATGCCCAGCTGTGGAGAGCTGCAGGCAAGACATAAATCTATGGTCTCTATCTGCTCAAGATGCTAAAAAACACAAAGTAAATCATAAATCGTTTTGTGAGATGACACTGTCTGGATGCATCTATTCCTGTTGCAGAATGGGACAACAGAGCTGTCACTTGGTACTGGACTGCTTTTCCAATGCAGCTGCAATGCAGGTTAGGATTGGGAGTTTTCCCACTAATTCCACTGGAATTTCCCACTGATTCCAATATTTCAAAGTGTTGAAGGGGCAGGCAGGAGTGCCCGTTGTTACACATATCCTGCTGCTTGTCTCTGCTCATCCCTAATCATGAGAGAGCTGAGAGAAATTAGAGCCTAAGGAGAAGTGCAATGCCTAGAGACAGGAGAGTGATGCCTGGAAAGGAAACTTCGAAAGCATTTCAGTATTGCATCTCAGGTGCTTCCAAAACATGGTGCTCCAAAAGCTTGTCCCTGCATAGTCAATCCCAGTCTCTCAGAAATCTTTAACGTTGTCTTCCATACCATGAGAACTCTGTGTGACCCCATGTGGCTATTTGCCTCCTGCCTTGAGAAGCTTCATTGGGCGTCTGAGTCAGTCTCCAGGCTTTCCATGCAAACGCAGAGTAAAAAAGAATATAATCAGAGCAATTACAACATCAAAAGGCAAGAATGAATTTGCTTTGGGCTAAAGAAAAGCAAAACCTACTGCAAGGCTCATTAAGTAATGAGAATAATCAGCCAATGCAAGCTTTAGGTCAGCAACTGAGGAAAGACAGGTAGGAATAGCAAAGTCATGTTACCACTGGCTAAATCATTAAGGAAACCATTGCTAAGACCTCAGTGTCTCATCTCACTGACTACTTGAATAGGAATCTGGTGAAGAGCTACAGGAATGGTAAAAGAACAAGAAAAATACCCTGTAGGAAGACACCAGATATGCTATTCAGAGCAGAATGAACGATGCTGCGAATCCTATCCAACTTTAAAATCACTGAACATCTGTGGGCTACAGACAAAGCAGTGAATTCCTCACCACCTCATTAGCCCAAGAGCTCCACTGAGTGCAATCAGCTGAATCCCAGCCTCAGAGGCCTCCCTGTGCTCCCACCTTGGAAGTGTTATTTTAGATACTGTAAATATCAGATGGGCAATTGTATTTGCTCAGCAGAAGAGAGATCTCACCCAGGGTTGAGATGACAGCAAATCATGAGACTTACAGGCTTTCTTTTGAAAAATATTGGTTAGCAGAGTCCTGTACGAGCTGCTAGCAGATGATTACAGCAGCAATTAAAGAAAGGCATTGAGTACAATTCTACATTTAAAGTATGGTATTTAGGCCAATTACAGGGCAAAACAGAATAGTTCTGATTTTCATTTCACAAAGGATATGTGTAACCAGCAGGATAAACCTGAGGTAGAAAATCACTTTCTTTGTAATCAGATCTTGTTTTTCAAAGAGGAGGAAGCTGGGGGACATGCCAGGAGCGATGTGTCACTTGATTTCCTGGAGATGACTCTCACACACGTGGAAGTGGAAAATGATCCAGTTTTGAGTCATGGGGTCGCTTGCAGACCTGGGGGAGCCAGGGGTCCCATCACACCACTCCTCATCTACCATGATGTCCACCCCAGAATTCAGTCATAGCATTTCCAAGAGAAAAAAGCTGCAGGGGGACAAAACTGAAATGAATGGATTGTCATTCCTATCAGAATGGCAGGGACATGTCATTAAGGTCTTACACTTCTTTTGACTGGCTGACTTCAGTTGGTGCCAGATGTCATCAGTGTCCTTATGGCTTCCATTTGAGATTCCCTTAGCATTCCTAGCTTTAGGTGGAGCTGTAACATCTCCTGAAGCTAGGTCCATGGCAGCTTAAATGAAATTTGCTGGACACTGAGCAGCATGTGTGAGGTTAACCCCTGGCATCTCTATTCCTATTTCCCTCATATGGATCAGCTAAAAATATATGCTTTTGGGAAAAAAAAATCATGACCAGAATCAAGATTCATGAATGCACTTGAAGTACACAGAAGGAGCTACAAAAACGTACTGCTGTAATGACTTTGTATTCTTGTTGAATATTCAAACTGCTATTTTTTCAAGCCTGGGACATGTAGTCTCAGCAGTATTTAGATGCTGAGTTATGGGAAACAAAGGGAATTAGAGACTGACATGAGGCATGTCTGGGTTTCAATCTCTATCTGGAGCATAACAGGGATTCTCACATTTCAGTCATAGAAATCCCACATTTGAAATTATGCTTTAGGACACGAAGATTTACAAATAATATATTTTTAAAATCATTATTTCCAAACAAGATCCTACAAAACACATTCCTGTCCTGCCTGGGCTAAGCCTCAGAGAACAACAGACATTGGGAATGGGAAAGGGCATTCCCAATTCCTTACAAAAACTTCTACTGAACTGTATTCAGGAGGGAAGGAAATGTTTCCCAGCAAGCATTGACAGTATCCCCATGAGTATCTGCTGCTGGAGAAAACATGATATTCAGTACATCGATAACTTCACTTCTCAGAAACCATTCTGAAAGGCATCGAAGGAAGGAGCTGGTGGTCCCTGCTACACCCAGGCATTTGCTGCAGTTCATATACAATGCATTTGCTCTTGACTATAAGGTGTGGACTTGAGACATGCATTGCAAAGACAATTACTCTACCAGAGAGTAAACTCCCATTTACCAGGGGAAATCATTTACCAGTGTCTCCTTCTGAAAAGTTCAACTCTTGGTATCCCTTTCCTAGGCTTTCCCACCCACAGACCTCAAGCATTTACTACCTCCACACTTAACAGCTAGCCCCATTTCAAGTCCCTGTGAGAACTGCACTATGTGCATGCTACCTGCCTAAGTGAGGAGATGAAGGAGGGCTCCTGAACCCTTCTCCATCTCTTCTTTCCCTTCCACATCACAAGACGGCCTCAGCAGTGTTCCGTTCTGCTCTCATCAGCAAGTCTGCTCCTTGCTGAGCCTTCCTGCTTTCAGGATGTCAGTTCTGTTCTGTTCATCTGCTAGCAAAATTACCGCATTGCTTTGCAAGCAAGTAAAGCTGCTGAATAATCAGTCTGTCCAGCCACAGTGACAGAGATTTTAAGTCTAAAAGATTTCCAGCAGGACATTGTTCCCCAGTCTAGAGGCTATTATCTTCTACAAACTGGAAGGTGCTTTTCCATTACAAAGCCTATGGTAAGACACAACCAATGTCTAGCACAGGGGTGTATTGGCATTTCAGGATTAAAAGTTACTAAAATGATTCCACTGGCTTGTGCATAAGCAACATCCCTCTGCTTCTCTTTTTCAGTAACCGTGACTGTGGGAGGACAACAGCACCTGCTGGGACTTTATGACACAGCAGGGCAGGTAAATGACTGCAAAACATCAATAAGTTTCCTTTCTCTTGATTTTTTTTTTTTTTTTTTACTATCACATATAGGTTTTGTTGATTGTGCTGTTGTTTTATCATGTTGTTTTGATGCTTTTGTTGTTGTTTTTTTGTGTTGTTTTTTTTTTTTTTTAAATAAACAAATTTTAATAACTGACAATGAGCTGTAATGGCTGAACTGCAGACCTCCTTTTAGTTTTTTACATGCAGATTTCATTCTGGTTCAGCAACAAAACACACACACATACATACATCCCTACAATGGGATTTTGTCTAAGCAAAAAGCAAAGCCTGATGGTGAAGTTTCAGCCTCCCATACTCCATCCCCACACAGACGAGGTATAGCCTTTTATAAAAGTCAGTGTTTTCTTACAATTACCACATGGTGGCATTGGAGATACAGAGAATTCCAGTTTTTTAGACCAGAAAACCAGTATAATACAACAGCAGGCTATCAGTCACCAGCTATTGACTGCAGACACGTTAACTCAGGCAGATGGGGACTCATCCCAGGATGGGATCACATTCCAAGCAGAAGGTACCAGGCTCATGATGAACTCTCTCTTCTACCTCCAAAATGCCAGTGACTTACAGAACAAAGAACAAACCATCAGTGGCACAGAAACCTTGCAGGAAATCAGCTGCCAAGAGGAGAGGGAACAGATCCCAGCTCCTTCCCAGCCAGGGAGGGCTCACGTCCACATCTACCAGCTACTCATAGAATCATAGAATCATTAAAGTTATAGAAGACTTCCAAGATCCCTAAGCCCAATTACAGCTCATCCCCACCATGCCCACTGGTCCCTCAGTGCCACACCTCCATGGTTCTGGAACACTTCTAGGGATGGTGACTACACCACCTCCCTGGGCAGCCTGTGCCAATGCCTCACCACTCTTCTGGAGAATAATTTTTTTCCTAATATCCAAACCCCCTAATATCCACCTCCTGTCAGAGCTGGCTCTGGAGGCAGAAGAGAGGAGCAGATATGAAAGCCTGCTTCTCTCCTTGGGACAGAGCAGCTCTGGGTGCTGGGTTTTGCATTCAGGATCTCTCCTTGTCTGCACTTTGCTGTCCATGGCTGCTATAAAATACATAAATAACGCAGAATGAGACTCTCCTGTCTGCAAGAGGCCACTTATTGCAGACTGTACTTCACAGCAGTTTGCAGAGAGGTCAAAATCTGCAACACAACAGACTGTCACTTCCAGAAAAAGCTACACTCAGCAGGACCTGTGCATTTATACTCTTGGTTTTGCTTTTTGTTGTTGTTGTTGTTTTGCTGTCACATGCCTGTAGGCCACTTCATAGCTATCTCAGTGTCAGTTACAGTCCACTCATCCTTCCTATTTACAAAGTGTAAACAGATGATCTAAAATCCGGTCCTAAAGAATGATCCAAGTCTTCATTTCGCTTGAGATATTCAAGAAGGTGCGTGTGTAATTTTCTTTTCTGCACTCACAAAGGCAGAGCTCAGTGTGTCTGTCACGATCTGGCAACTCTGTGAGCCTCTGCAAACGAGACTGGAGTTATATTCAGTTCTCAATCAGATTTCGCTCAGTGCCTTAATATTTCTGCTTGTTTTCAAGGGCTGACAGTACCACCTGCCACCCATTTCCTCAGCAACACATCCTCTTATTTGTTCTCCTGAGCCAAAAGAACCATAAATCTGTTCCTCTGTCAGACCTCACCCTCCCTCCATTCCTCCACAATCATATTGCCATCTCTTGTTTCCAACCAGTCAGACCACCACCTGCCTCCCAGTAACATTTCCAGCTCCTCGGGACCGTTTCCATCTCAGACTTTGGTTCAGAGGATGTGGCCATATAGGCAAAACCTGGAGCATGAATCACTGTTTGATGACCAGATTGTATCTGCGTGGAGGCAGCAGGGATGATGCTTCCCACATGCTCAAGCTGTAACGACAGATCATCTGGGTTGTTTCCTCACTCCTCCTTGTGTTGTGTGGCTTTCCAAAGGCACTGGTGTGAAGTCATAGCCAAAAATAGCACTTGACATTACGATGCTATAAAACACATGCTAATGAAATAACAATTGGAGAATGTACTTCTGCAGCAGGACCCTCTGTCAGCCTGCAGGGAGAGCTGGCAGGGACTCCAGAGCTCAGGGATCTGGTTTTCTGTGTCTCTGGGCACAAAAAGTCCTAGGAGGGAAAAGAAAACATTGCTTTGTGTTTTTTTTTTTCCCCCACAAGCTGGAATCAGGTGTGGAGTGCTTTAATGGCAGGGAGTGTACACAGGGAGATCGTGACAGCAGCAACATTACAAAATAAAAAGTGTTGTACTTTTCTCGGGCACAGTACATCACAGGCTCAGCCAGTGGCCAGGCAGCGTGGCTGGGAAGCCCTGCATAATCCAAATGACAGCCAACAGGATGCAAGCATGGGCCAAGGAAATGAATTAATGATCAGCTACAGCCCACGTGCACAAAGACTCGTGTCCCTTCTCAAACATCACTGTCACTACAGATACGCCCCAAAGCAAGGCAAGCATCCAGCACCTTTTTTACCCTCTTTATTTGCTTTACTTCAACAGTGAACCGCCTCTGAACAAGAAACAATGTGATGTGGACCATTTCACAATGGTCCACTGCAAGGTTTTGCAGCTTTCTCCTGGAGCATGAACCTGGGGTGCTCTGGAGGCTCCAGCCAGCCCACCAATGGGGATGCATGGGATCAACTCATACCTATAATATCTTGTATCAGTGTGTGCATTAACACACCCATGTGAGCTCCTGTGTGCTCTGACCTCTGCACTGTGACATGTGGTTGTCCCTCCTTACAGCATAAACAATGCTCAGTGCCACCAACACCAATCAGGAATGCTCCTTAAGAAAAGATTTTCTGGGGGCTTCAGAGGAATGAGGAAAATCCAATTAAATGTGCACTTCTGTAGCTGCCACCACCCGCTGGAAGTGCTCGAGGCTTCTAGTTTGGATTTTAATGGCACAATAAGTCACAGTTTTTCTAAACAGGCACATCTGGAATACGCTAACTCGTTACATTTAGCCAATTTCGTTCCAGAATTCCTAAATCAAGATTCCTAGAGGGCTTGCTGCCACCACGTGGCTGTTTTAGGAGGCTGGTTTGCAGCAATTACACTGAAAACACACAGAGGAAAGGCCTCTGCCAGGCACCTAACTACAACCATGTCGGCTGTGGGGTAAACATTCTTTATGTTGGAGAAGCCAACATATCATGTCCAGAGCCTGACACAAACCTCCTCCCACCAACTGTACTTCTTTGTGGCCTCTGTCAGGATGTTTTCCATATTGCCTCTGAATTTCCTTTACAAAACTCCCTCTATGTGAATAGGCTTTCCTTCTTGGCTGCTATGTCCAAACAGCTCCTGTTCCCATGTAAATCTTCAAATCAACACTTTTAGTGACATCTGTGACATCTACCTCAGTCAACACTGTGGCTTTGCAAAATGCAGCAGGTTATTTTTGCTACTAAATTTCCCCAGTGCACCAAGGGAGTGTTCTTGCTGAAGTTTTCCAACATTAAACAACCTCAGATAGATAAAAGAACAACTTCTTCCCCCTTGTTCGAGTCAAAAGGTGGATGTCTTATCACTAAATGCAGTTAGAAACGTGTCTCTTGAGCTGTGCAGAGCACAGCAGGGAGTCTGCGACTGGGGCTGGAAACCAGTGTGGTACTGGAGGTGGTGACTGGGAATACATCCTTCCTCTTCAAGTGAGTTTGGGACAATGAACTTGAAGCTAGACAAAACAAAACATTTTGTTTGTATTTTAGGATGTTTCTTTAATTATTTTTAATGTTACAGAGCTATATTTGGCCTCATACTTCCTTTCAGAATAAATAAGTTTTCTTGTTTAGAAAAGATTGGTGCAGAATATTTTTACACGATTAGTATTTAGGAAACAAGTGTCTATTCAGAAGTAGTTTGAATCACCTTACCAAGATGAAAGAAAAAGATAAGATCCCCTCTCAGCCTCCTTTCTCCAGGCTGAGCAGCCCCAGGGCTCTCAGCCTTTCCCCAGAAGGGAGATGTTCCCTTCACCCATCATTTTCCACCACCTCATAACACCCTGCCATTCTCTTCCTGCAGGAGGACTACAACCAGCTGAGACCCCTGTCCTACCCCAACACAGATGTGTTCTTGATCTGCTTCTCAGTGGTAAACCCTGCCTCATACCACAATGTCCAGGAGGAGTGGGTACCTGAGCTGAAGGTCTGCATGCCCAATGTGCCTTATGTCCTCATAGGAACACAGGTAACGCTCCTTTGGGGCACAGCTCACCTCTCCAGGGGTTCTCAGTTCTCACTGCCTCAGGGCTAAGGGCTGGAGACTGAGGCTTCCTATTGGACTTCATATATGAAAACCAGAATTCAGCATTAGAGGGAAAATCATAGATTGCAAATAGAAGCCAACATGCAGTTGACCCATTGAGTTAGTCACAACTGGGAAAGCTCCTTATTTATATGTATATTAATATGGTGTGGAGGTGTAAAATCCGATAGGGATAAAAGATTTCTGATAGGTCTTTAGTGGGGGGAAAAGCAAACATCAAAGGCTGTGGCTGGAAGCAGAAGCTAAATTCAGGCTCAATTTTAATACCGAGAATAATTAGCCAAACAACTTAGAGACATAGGAAGGAAATGGCCTCCCTCATGCTGTACATCAACATTACAATTACTGACTCACCATCCCACCTGTGCTTTAGGGGATGTTAGACTGAACGATCAAAGCACTTTGTTTCAGCCTTAAAACCTATGGATCTATGGGTTTCCAAGATACAGACTGGACAGAGATCATGAAAAGCAGGGATGCTAAAGTCAGGAAAATGTCCAAATACTGGGTGGTAATCTAAACCAAATTAGAGAAAGAGATCAAATTCTGAGCAAAAATGAAATCCTCATGCCATAGGAAAGTCTGGTTATTCATGCACTGGCTTAGTTTCCCACACTGGAATACTCTAAAACAGCAGTTATCCTTTGGAACGCATACTCTGAAAATGGGTGGTTTTGAAATGCCAGAATGTTTCACTTTGATCTTTTCCATGGAAATAAAGGATTTTGCGTCAAGTCAGCCATCCAGAGCTGTGTCTGTTTGGTCTGTCACTGTGCTGTACAGGTGATGCAGTGCAGGATCGTAGCAGACTCCTTTCCAAAGTGACTTAGACTTCTACCAACACTTTCCATAATGTATTGTGAAAGCCACTGAGAAATGCATCTGTACTATGCTGCAGCCATCTGAGCTGTGGCCTGATAACTGTTCCAATAAGAACTAAACCATGTTAAACAGAAAATTTAAAGAAAGGAAAGAAAGGAAAATACATATGTAATTCATTTCTGAATTCTCACCTGAGGCTGTGAGGACAGACATCCTTGTGCAAAGATATAACGATAGGTTTGTAAACTTATAAATATATCTTTCAAGAATTACACTAAGGCAGTACTGAACATGGGTTTTGTGTGTTTTCTACTAGATTGATCTGCGAGATGATCCCAAAACTTTGGCTCGTCTGCTTTACATGAAGGAGAAACCACTCACCTATGAGCACGGTGTGAAGCTGGCAAAGGAGGTAACAACTTTTTGGAGTCCCATGAAATCAGTCGAACTCTCAGCAGGGCTCATTGGTTATTCCCAGTCAGATATCAAACACCCTGAAAGTAGAAACAGATTTTGGCTCCTGAGCCCACTGCTTTGGTGCAACCAGGCAAAGCAATAGTGGGGAAAGGGACAACAAAACAGATTTTACTGACTACTTCAGCTAGTGGAAATTAAGAGCTGCCTCTCTGGCACCTTCATACCAAGTCCATCCCTTTCACCGCTTCTCTTCCCCTAGCAGACAGAAGCAGTCCAGTTCTGGTTATTCATCCTGGGGTGCTTATACTGCTAAGAAATCCTGAGCCACATCTCAATCCCTCTAGCCAGTGATAGATAATAAGAACACTGCAGCCAATTTCCTAAATAAATGGGAAATGTGCTACAAGAGCATCTAATATCCCTACTTTTCATTTCATTGCATCTCACTCCATTTACTCATGCTTGTAGCCAAAACATAGGGAGAGAATACATCTTTTTTGCACTGTTAAAATAGACAACATTTGGTGCTCTCTCACTCAGGATGATCACTGGGCTTGTCCCTCAATTCTATAGGCAGCCAGATACAAAACAGAGGACCTCACCCCACTTTCTGAAGGTCAGGACAGTATTCACACAGAAGGATGGTGGAGCAGGGTCTCTCTACCTCTTCAGACAGTGGGTACTCACACTTCCTCTCTCCTTTTTCAGATTGGAGCACAATGCTACCTGGAGTGCTCAGCCCTTACACAGAAAGGCCTTAAGACTGTCTTTGATGAAGCAATTCTGACCATTTTCCACCCCAAGAAGAAGAAGAAGCACTGTGCAAAGTGCCATAGATGCTGCACCATTGTATGAAGTCACTTGGAAAGAAAAGTGAGATGAGTTCAATGAAAACAAGCAGGTTAGAAAGGCAATGAAGGTCATATGCAACTGAAAAGGGGAACATGACCAGAAAGGGGTCCTTTTTACCCAAATAGGAGCCCTCCATTCTGTGAAACCTCCAAGCTGTATCACAATAGGCCAGCTGTTGTCTGTGTGCATTCCAAAACCTTCAGAGTTTCATGCAGCCTGTTCCCACCACTGCAGACTGTGCTGAGCCAACAGAAACAAGAATGCCTGCTCCTGCTTGATTCTTCTTCACCTTAGGAATAAGAAGGCAGCACTGTGTGGCAAAAATTTAAAAAAAAAAAATTAAAAAAAAATTAAAAAATAAAGGGATAAAAGAAACAGAACAAACTCCATTTGTGGCCTTAAGGAAGAATTGCTCAAAATTAAAAATTTGCAGTACATAGGAATTTAATCTGAACTGACTGAAAGAACATGGAGATCTGTAGAAATCTACTATGTAAGATGTACACTATAGGTAGGATGTACTTTTGAACGACTTTTCTTTTATAAAATTCATTACTTCAGGATATAGTTCTTTTTGTTCAATCTTCATGGAAGCAAAGGTGGAACGATTCCAGTTTGTCTTCACTTAATGGTGAAACTTCACAGCGTCAGTATGTTACTGCACCCAAGCTATCAAAACAGATCAACATTTACCTCCAGACTTAAGGAATGTTCTAAAACAAAAAAAAAATGCAAGTAACTCTATTTGTACAAGGGAATATTCAGGCTGAGCCATGTTTCTGTAAGCTGGGAAAGGAAGAACAGAGTTGTAGTGTTTGTGTACTGATATTCTGCCACCAAATATTGCCCTGGACATGAAATACCAGCTTGGAAAAATTGCCTTTCCAAACTGAGAACATGAAAGAGACACATTGCCATGGCAACTGAAAAATTACCTTATAGATCAGCTGGATTTCTACATCCCACCCAGCAGACAAAAATAGCAAAAGCCAAAAAGCCAAAGGTCACGCCGATCTCAAGTACTTTAAGATGATCCAAGTGCCTTATGATTTTTTTAGAGTATCTCATGTAAAAACCTTATCAAAGCGGAATTATAATCATTGTGATTTGCTGTGGTCCCCCTCCTCTCATTGATTATTTTGCTTTGCTCCCACTCTTACACAGCCTCCTTGTGGTAAGTGCTGTTTAATTTGCAGTTCTCAGCAGTGGACTTTCACAAGATGGACTGCATCCCTTAGCACAAGGGTGGGAAGACCTCGAGGGAGAAGAAGCTGCCCATAAACTCCCTGTGCTGCTGGAAAAATTGTGCCTTTCCACTAAAGCCTCTCCGGGAAGCCTGTACTCTTGCACCTCACAGCAACACTGATGCTCAGAGGTGAGCTCAAAGGGCATCTGCCTTTGAGAACAATGGCAATGCCATGAGATTGTCTTGTGGATTTCATTCCCCAGGCAGAAAATCATCATGGCAGAAAATACAGAGACCTCCAATATAACTCCTTGCAAAAGCAGCATCTCTATCCAGCATTTTGAAAACTGCTCAAACTAAGCAGCAAACAGAAGAGAACAATCATGATGCAGTGCCCCATCCTTTACCCATGGAATATGACAGATCCAAGCTCCTGTTTTCACTCGAGCACAAATTTTATTTACCACGGACACAAACAGAAACCAGATCAGACACAAAACATTTCCAATAGAGATCAATCCAAACTGGCCAAACTTGAGGTCAGTGCTACTCACCACCTCTTTGTGCTGCATGCAAGCATGGCCGATAGCTAAAATCATGCTAATCAATAGCTATACAAAAGAGAGGCTTCTTTACTTGTGCATGTCTTCTATCATATTGCAGAGAAATGGACTGACTGACACAACACAGCTCAGAGCGAGGACGGAGCTGAGCCTGGTGAAGGAGCTCATGTCGTGCCATAGAGGCTGTGCTGCTGTCCCAGCACTGAGCATTCACACAGTGGGGACATCAGTAATCAGCTGATCTGAGAGGTGTAACACGGTGTTAGAAGAGCATGAGGAAAACTAGGAGTGGCCAAAAGTCCACTGAAAAATAAAAGAAGGGTTTCAACAGAAAAAAATAATGAGAGCTTCACTGTGCTGCTTTTTGCTTCAGTGGAAATAAAACAGGGTGATGGCTTTGTGATTTAGGCTGCTGTAAAGCATTAGCCTATATGCAACTCTGGTTAAAGTAAGTGGAGTCTGCTGTAGCTGAAGTGCAATGGAAACACTCAGTTTGGAGCTGCCAAGTATTCTCAGAGCTTTACATAACAACAATTCAGACTGACAGCTGAGCTTATCATAAAATAATGAGCACAGTGGAAAGTGCAATATAGCATTCCCAGCATGTGTCAGAGAAAGCCACAATAACCAAATGATATTTTTGCCTGGTATCAGGGGTGCCTATTAATGCTGATGGGATGGGATGGGACAGTCATATAAAATCATATAGGAAGTTGTACCATTAATGCAATTGCAGTGGTTTGAGGAAAAATAACTTACAGAAACCCATATTACAGAATCACAGAATTGCAGGCATTGGAAGGGACCTCCAGAGATCAAGTCCAACCTCCCTGACAAAGCAGGCAAATATGGTGATGAAGAAGCTAAAATGCTGCTATGCTGATTTATTAAACTGTAGCATCCTGCACAAATCGTTGCATAGCACTGAAAGCAGATGTATGGAAAAAATATTACGACTAACCAGGGTTTTGTTTGTATTTACAAAGTCTGGTACATCAAGTTTGCAAAACAGTTTTCAAGTTTTTCAAGCTAATTGAGTCCACAATTTGTCATTTGTGAGCTGAAAGAGTGGGTGAGTGGTTGCAATCCACACACTGTATTCCATTTATTTTTCATTTCTCTTCCAACAAAAATAACTGATTTTTTTGAAAAAGATGTGGCTAATGCAGGTCTCATAAACATCAGTCCTGCGTGGGGTTACAGACACACATTCATCCTCGTAAATGTGGCATTTTTCAAGGATCTGCCATGTTACACCGTGGTCTTGGAGAGGAAGGAATAGCACAGGCCAGTAGGCTCCAGAAAGGTGCTGTAGGCAGATGTAAGCAGACTCACTGACTATCTGGCAAGTCATACCTAATGCCTTTCCTACAAACCAACAGATGGTACGTGAACAGGCAGCAAAGCTTATTTTCAAAAATATCAAAACACCAGGCACAGTGCAAGCACATGCGTAAGGCAAGAGAGAGAAATTTCAAGTTATTTTCAAGCACCATTAGTAGCAAGAAAAGAAAATCAATATGTGACTGCCAGCTGAACAGAGATAGTTTTTTTCACTGTTAGATGAACTGGAAATCAAATCTGGACTTCACCTTCAAAGGAATGCAGGCAGGATAGTCATAAAGGCTATGAACCATCCCAGGAACCTATCTGAGCATGTCGTTTTAATGCAACCAAAGTCAAAGCCCTTCCTGACAGCTGCCTTTGCTAACAGGCTGATAACATTTCATCACAGCTTAGCAGAAATCTGCCAGATCCGAGAAAATGCATCTTCTTTGGTCTCTTCTGAAGTTCTATCAGGAGTTGTTAACTTGAATTTCTCTGACAAAGAAGAATGTGAAAACAAGGCTCCAACCCCACCAAGGAGCAATTTGTTCCACCAGGCCTAAGTGCCACGGTGTTGTGTCCTCCAAGAGAGGTGGAGAGCAGCTCTCAGTCTGAGCTCCCCCAGCTGTCCTGGGTGCAATGCTGACTGTCACAGACATGTGTAGCTCATGAAGAGCAACCAATTTCATCAGTACAAGAAATAAAAAGCTTACTATAGAATCATAAAATCATGAAGGTTGGAAAAGAGCACTGAGATCATCTAGTCTAACCATCAACTCATCACCAATCTCTTACATTTTGCGCCACTTTGAATTAGGCCCAATTAGTGCCAAAGGCTAACGATACAGATCGTTCCCTCAACTTACAATAGAGCTGGCACTCATCTTCTACTTCAGCACACTGGAAGAGTGACACAAAGGATTAGCATAGCTGAGAAAGGAAGCTCCTTTTGCTATGTGGGAACTACAGAATTCACACTGCGTCCAGCAGCACTGTTGCAACAATCATTCAGCAGCTGTCATTGATATTTCACACATTTCTCCCCTTTTAAAGCACTGCTTCAGCTCAAAACAAACACAGCTGTCAAGATCTCACCCAAGATACTGTCTCAAGACTCCAGAGACCCAATTTGAGAGCCTTTACGGGAGCTTGGGAAAGGTTGTAGAAGTTCTTGCAAACAATTTCTACCATTGCCACCTATCATCACACCCAGCATGGCATACAGCAAGCAACACAGTGGCCAATTACACACAGTGTGTGTGTCTAGAAGATGTATTTTCACCATGTGAGCTGGCACTTCCATCAATAAACGTCCTTCTAATCAAATATGAAAGATGCCCATTTGCTCACATAGCTTACAAGTAGTCCATGACCTTTTCTTCAGCTTTTTTTTCCCCAGTGGCACAGCAAATACCTCCCGACTCACTGTACCAAAACCCATCTGGATTGAAAACAAATTGCAATGGCATCAAGCTGCCTCAAGGCAGGCTGGTCTGAACCACAAGCACAAATGGAGAAAGTACATTTGCCTTCTCTACCAAAGCAATGCAACATATGCTCCTATTAGCCCAGGGACCATCTGTTCTCTGAGCAGGTTGAGTGCAGGAATCTGGCTGCATTGCTCCCCGTATTTTCTTTCTTTGCCTGAAAAGTAGGTGCAGTTTGGTTTATCTTGCTTAAAACAAATAATCTATAGCTAACAGAACATTTTCTGGGTCTACATCTGTACAGGAGCAGAGGGGTATTTGCTGTGACAGGAGGTGAGCATGGACCAACCTCTGTCAGATAAATTTCAGATACATTTGTGCTCTAAGTAAAAGTGGAGATAACTCAGCTATAAATACCTGTTTTTCTCTTGGTGAATAGAGACCCTGTGAGGGCAGGAGAAAGACTCCCAACAATTTCAGTAGTGGCTGGTGATCTCAGCTCTGTTCACCTAATGAAACAAAACACGAATAGAAACATTTTTGAACCAAAAAGTTTGGATAAAAAATATGGATTAGGAGGAATGAATGCGACAGAAGAACGGCATCTTCTCTTCTGCTCTATTGGAGAGCTGCAAAATCAGGACCCAGAGCCATACCACAGTGAAATTTCTCTTTAAGATATTAAGGGAATGCCCATAATTAGAATTTTTTTTTTAATTATTATTATTATTTTCATTCTACTTCCTTTTCTTCAGTTAAAACTTTCAGAAATCTGTGAGCAAGAATATATTTTTCCTGGGTAGTTCCAGGATTCCCAGCCTCAAATGAGAGTCAGAAACTCTTTGCAAGAGCCAAATCAGCTCACAAGACCATCTATCACAGAGCAACAAGCAAAGACTCGTATGAATTGCTGTCAATGGTGAAAAATCCCTTCACCTTTGAAAATACTATTAACAGAAATAACACTGAGCATGATTCCCCCGTCCTTCCAGAACCATAATGCAGTGTTTGGCTGCTTCTTCCAACTCCAATTTCAGGATGGGATTTTCAAAGATGGAGTGTTTTGACTTATTTCAATTCTCATGAGGACAATGGAAGATTTCGGTGGACTCCACATATGACAAATGTGGAAAGAATTTGAATCTCTTTGTATTTCCTCTTTTTTGCCTTTTTTTTGTGACTGACAAAGCCTTGAGCACACCGATATACTGAACCAGGTCCAACAATTTTTGTACCTCTTGGCTACTGAGTGCTTACACTCTAAAGAAATTAGGCATCAGGAGACTTCGCTGATCTGATCTTTAGCTCAAGCTTTGAAGATGGGATTTGTAACTCCCGTTTTCAACCATCACTGAGGCTGAAGGTGAAAATGATTACATTAGCAGGGTAATATCGAGACAAACAGGTTTCTTTGCTTTGTTTGACACGGCACGTATTGCTGTCATTAAATTTCATTTCATCCCAGTGGAATGGTAGCATTCAGGATGCCAGATTGAATTTTAGATTGGTTTTGTCAATGATCAGTTTGAGCTCTCCCTGATGTCATCGCTGCCAAATTTTGACTTTGATCAGAGGTTAAGGAATTCACAGCAAACAATTGCCACCAATCTGCAGTTTTCAGATCTTACGGCACAGCAGTTATTTGTACTGATAGAAATTGTTGTACTGGTAAAAACTGTTGTCTGATATCTGCCAAAGTAGTGTGGGTGTAAGCCAAATCCATAGCGTGGCTGTCACGCTGACTCTCCCAGCACACTTGCCCAAAGGAGGCAGCTGCTCTACCAGCATTACTGAACTGGCAGGACTTGGAACTGCCCTGCCAATATGGAGTAAATGAGCCTGAACTTTTGACAAACTTGTAAATATTAATTCATGAACAAGCACTAACCTAGAGCTGCCAAAGCCTAATTCACTCATGAGCAAAAGTGACCTTAGGAAGCGAGGCCAGGTTGTCAGGTGGAAGGCACAAGACAGCTGCCCTCATCCCTTTGGCATGACCCATGGACAGGGCTTGGAGGTGCCCTTGTGGAGGTCAGCAGCACCTTGTGACTGGGAGAGCTTCCAAGAGGAAGGCTGCAAAGTGGAGGAGCAGGGAGACAGACCTGGACTGTCCTTAAAGTGCAAGGATAACTGAATCCAGTTGAATCTGTTATGATGTTGATGCACTTGTACAGGCATTTCGCTGCAAAGAGATTCCCTGCTTCCCTGAGAACTTTTGTTTTCTTTCCTTTTCCGTAACACCTCAGCAATACTTAGAGTACCAGTGCAACAATTTACTCACACTGAGTCTGACTTTGAAGCAAATGCAATGACTTCAAACCAAATCAAGACCTAATGCAGCACCCATCAGCTGTTAGCATATTAAGAAAAACAGTTATTTACTCGATGCGAGCAATAGAATTTCTCTCTTACAAGTTGCTATGTGCAATATCTCTGGAGTATAGGGGTGGTAAAACCAAAGAACAAATACTGGAAAGCTATGTTTGACTTCTGAGTGATGCTAAGCCTTTTCAAAGATGAACCAAATCTTCAAAATTCAACTCAAAGCAATAAAATTTCAAACCAGGGAAAATCATTTTTCCAGGAATTGTTTTGCATATTTTAAAAACGACGTAAACAGTATTAGTTTCCTATTTACAGCACGATTCTGTACTCTTTAGCTTATCCTCTTTTAAACATGTAATTATTGTATATTGTAACTGCACATTAATATCCTCTACTGTACATAGTTTATTTTAACAAAATAAATGTATTACTAGGTATTTTGACAGCATCATTTGAAGAAGGTGTGCTGCTCTATTTGTTGTCCCAGATGATTATCAGGCAGTGAGAATGCACCCTGACACATACAATTCCTTTTGCATGGTCCTGGAACCACCTGCAGCTTCCGGTGTTCCCTCCAACAATGCAAAACTTCTAACAGGAGATGACACTGGTGATACAGAGCTCTGAGAAGTCTCAGGCACATCCTTTTCAGGAAACTGCTGCTTAACCAAACCCTCCATGGAAAGGAAGGTGGAGAAGTGGGGACTTGATGGGGTTGGTTTGTGGCTCTTCCAGATGTTACCTTTTTTTTCTTCTTTAGGTAAAAGGTTCTTGGCATTATTGTTTGTGGCTTCCACTGAAATACCACAGCACCAACAATTTTTTTTTTTCTCCCCTGAGTGAATATTTAAAGTTTTTCATAGAGAAGCCAGCGTGCTGTGGCCTTGTAGACACAGGAGTTCTCTTGGTAAACCAGCTAGGAAATGCATTAACCCAAGTGTTGGGAGCTTCGAAAGGAGGTTGTAACCATCTAACAAACCCAACGTGTGGACAACAAAACCTCCAAACAAACCCATAGCAATGGCACTGAAGATGATGAACCGCCTAACACTTGGCTCGGATGTGAGACAAGACAGGACAGGGAGAGGCAAGAAAGAAAGGACAATGGTTAGAGGGCTGAAGAAATGAGGAAAGATAGTCCTTAAAGGCAGCACTGGAATGAAGAATACGACTAGCTCCTCTTTTCCCAAAACTCAGCACAAAATATCAAGGAGGGGAGGGGAAGAAGGGAGATGCTGCCTTCATTACTCAGCTTTTCATTTCCACACCAGAAACAGTCCCATCAACCAGCTAGTCTGGTCTTCAAATTGAGACCATAGCCACCACCATTCCTGAACAGTACCCCCACCTCTGACTGGGCTAAAGCAAGTTGCATAGGACAAAGGGAAATGGCCTCAAGTTGTACCAGGGGAGGTTTAGGTTGGATATCAGGAAACACTTCTTTACAGAAAGCGTTGTTAAGCATTGGAATAGGCTCCCCAGGGAGGTGGTTGACTCACCATCCCTGGATGTGTTTAAAAACCATTTGGATGTGGTGCTCAGGGACGTGATTTAGCAGAGGGTTGTTAGTTAGGGTAGCGTGGTTAGGTTGTGGTTGGACTCAATGATCTTTAAGGTCTTTTCCAACCTGAGTTCTATGATTCTATGAAAGCACTGCGTGACTGCAACTATTGCTGTTCACATTGGAAGAGGGACACGAATCCAAGAAGCAGAGTGCTGTGCAAGATGCAGACAGGACAAGAGAGACACAGCCTTCTCCAAAATGCACTGGGGGAAGAAAAATGGCTGCCACTCCCATTGTCCAGAAGGGAAACTGAGGCACAGTTTGCCCCTGCTCACCTGGTGTGTTGATGGCAATGCTGATATCCAAGTTGTACAGTCATGCTTTTTCCATATTTGCACCTCCTCCTTTCTCAGCAAGCAGCTGCAACCAGCTCTCTTCTCTTGCTGCAGCAGTATTTCAAGTTGGGAATGGTTCAACACTCAGGCATTCTCTCTGGCCTCTCTGCAAGTACCATTCTCACAGGGGCATCAAGTTCCCTTCTACATGTAGGGCATAATTTCTTTCTCTTGTTTCTAGATACTGGAAATCATGACAGATTAAACCTTTCAGGTGGTTTTCGTGGCAGTTTACAAAGATTTCGGCCTTATGCTGGTGGTTGGTGTCCAGGTGAAGGGAACAATCAATGATTCCAAGTATCAAAATTGGTGAAAATTTACCACAGTGAAGACCTAGTAGCATAAGACCTAAAAAAAAAAAGCCTGAGATTTGCAATGACCAGCAGCAAGAATCAAGAGAAGCTGTAAATGCCCCATCCCTGGACGGGCCAGGTTGGATGGGACCCTGAGCAGCCTGATGTGGTGATAGGTTCCCCTGTTCATGGCAGAGAGTTGGGACTGGGTGGTGAGTAAGGTCCCTTCCAACTCAAACCATTCTCTGATTCTATCATTTTATGAAAGGGTGTACATTCACAGTAAATCCACAGCATCTCTATTCAGTTTTGCTTTTCTCCTTAAAAGACCATCCAGAAGTGTTAGCTGAGATTCAGTCAATACATTCTTCCCACACCTCCCCTTCTGCCTCCCAAGTCTGGATGCTGCTACATCAATCAAAACCTTCCTTCACGTCGTGCAGTGTTTTATTCCAAACACTTGCTTAAGGTTTCTACTGCCTCACCATATCTGGGTACAGCCTGTACTTCCCACTTGTTGCAATGGAAGGAAGTTGTCACTTTGGAATCCCATTTCTAATCCCAAGATTATGGCACAGCCAGACTCTGTAAGAGAAATCCAGCAAAGGAAATGACTTTGCATTAGGATCGAGGAGATGTTTTGCAGGTGTTCACAGCTCTGGCAAAGAGTTTGTAGGAGCTTACATATATTCTGTGTGAGAAAGCTTTATGCATCAATAAAGAATGACACATTGATTTAAATTGCATCCATAATACAATTTGGGGGTTTTATTAAGGACATAAAATAATTCGTAGGTTTTCCATAATAGTTGTGATGCTGCTTAGAACAATAACGAGATTAGAGAGATACAATTTGAAAGAAAACAGGGACTTTTTTAAGGCAGTTAAACTCACCATCACCAGAAAACTGCTCCTGCTGCTGTTTGACATGGAATTCAGAACTACTGAAGGCAGATGATAAAATGTTCTCCTTTCTACTCAGCCACAGGGCAGCTTTCACAGTTCCACCGACAAAACATGACAGCAACTAATACATTGCAGATCAGATTAAAAACAAAAAGATCAGTCTCAAGGAAGATAAGGCTCTTGGGGAAGTTTCAGGCACACAACTGTGGGAATGAAGGAACTGCATCCCCAAGACACTTAATCAGAGCAGAAGGCAGGTGCTGACATCCTCTCAGCAGCAGTTCTCTGCTAATGGCTATCTGAGTTGTCTTTGTTTGTAAGCTCCTGTGACTCTCTTGCACTTGGCCAAATTTTGATGTTTTCACATCATTTCCTATTTTGTTCAGGGGGGAGAAATGAAGGATGAAGATGGATCTGTCCTCCTCCAGGTGGGAGTTGGAGGACTAAGGCACTTACACAGCTGTGTTCACCAGAGGGGGGATGCTGCAGCAGCTCCCATGCATCCCCCAGTCTATAAACAGTGGTTCTGAAGAAGGTGGTATGGACCAGCCTTTGGCATGTCTGCTGCCTTCCCTGCCCTGGGCCTGTCCCACCCGTGCTGGCTGCATTATTTGCTATCAGACAACTCCTCAGCTCTCCCGTGAGCACTTCTGGCTGCCCTCTGTGCATCTCCTGAGAAGCGAGTCCCTGTGTGGCTGAGCAGAGCAGGGAAGTGTGGGAAACATCCCTCATAGCCCCCTCTTTCCCATTACCTTGGCCAAGGCTTGCTGAAACTGAACCACAAGCACTACATTTTGGCTTGGTCCCTCTAACTCTGGAAATTGTCAAGAGAGGACTTTAGGGTTGTGCAGAGCCCCTCTGGTCTCACATGAAGCCAATTCTTCTTCTGGACAGTCCTGGACAAAAGCATTACACATTTAATGTGCTTCTTTCTGTTTTTTAAGAAGTCATCTCTTGTAAGGCAAGATTTTTTTTCAGCAGAAGTGCTCTAATTAAGCAAATCACTGAAATACGCACTTAACTGTAAGTCCACAGATATTAATCAAGTACTTGGCTGAGTTAGGGCTTAGGGTGTACTCACCCTAATTTCAAGGTGGTGATTTGATACCCATTTCCATTTTATTGGCTGTACAGCCTTTTCTTTGACAGATATTTTTGACAGATCTCAGCGTAAGAAGAGCAGAAGGGGCAAGAGGGGGAAATGTTGGTAACTCTTACATTACTGGGAAGGTACTAAAACTGAAAGGAATAAAGGCTGTTCTACTGGCTGTAATGCCTTTATGACCTGTTTCCAAGCCCTCTGTAACTATTCAGTCCATGTGCACCTTTGTGCATGAAGAAAGGTCCCACTATGTAAAGCCTGGAAGGAAGGGAAACAGCATCAATTTTTCTTCCATAGGATTTGCTATTGTAAGGCTGTGTTCTACATTTCTACAGAAAAGGAAGAGGGAACTAAACCTCATCTGCCAGAAAAGCCAATGATTAGGAGTATTAGATGGTGAGACCAAATTCTGGGCTGACCCACATCCTCTGAGACAGCAGGGGTGTAGAGCCAGGGAGGAACTTGACCTGGGAAAGGAGAGCTCAGGCAGTCTCACACTCAGTGGTGGCCGTAGAGCAGAAGTCACAGTTGCAGCGTATGGCGACTGGGTAGGTGTAGAAGGGATCCACACCAGGGGCACACTTGGGCAGCATCACTGTCACCAGCTTGGTCTCATTGTAGGTGCAGACACGGTGGTAAGATTCAATGTAAGGCGGCTGCAGTATTGGCCTCTGTGGGTGAGAAATGAGGGTATCAGACAAGATGCAAGACAAACATCGGGGTCCCTGGTTTTCTCAAGAGGAAAAAACAGCAGAGCCACTGGATCAAGATGGAAAAGGCCATGGAAACAGCAGCAGTCGGGCTGCACGTTCTGCAAAGCCCAGCAGATACATGCCATGGGGAGTCGACCTGGCGCTGCAGGCAGCACTGAGGCCTGCATTTTTTCACAAGATGAACAACTTGGCCAGAAACCTCAACCAACAAAAAAAGACAGTAGCCTGAAGGCCCTAAACACCAAATTCCCACGTGGAACTACAGTGGCATGGATTTTGCTGAGAAGTGGTGTTTTCCTCAATGGAAGCACCTGTTTTCCAAAGACTCCAAAGACAGGACTGGAGGGAGCCCACTACAATCCTCTCCCTCATACAGATGGGAAATAGCCTGAAGTAAAACAGTCTGGAGACACTTAAACATGTTCTTTCTTTCAGTCTGTGCTGTGCAAAGAGCCTGCCCCAGGAACAGAGAACAATGGCACAGAAAAGAATAGATGCCACGTTTCAGCAAGAAGATATCCAGACACCCTCCCTCTTACCGGCTCCTCCATCCAGGCATACCATGAGGCTCTGTAGAAGCTGTTGAGCCTACAAGCCAGATGCATTCAGCTTAACTACATCCCTGTGGTATTTCACTCTGCAGTCATTAGAACTTCCCTGAATAAATTAAACCGGCTTTGGCCCCTTGAGCCATTCAATGACAGAAAGGCCATAAGAGTCAGCAACTTGCTCTCTGAAGTGTGTGCAGACTCGTGCTCTCTTTCTGCCCCTCTACACCCCCAAAGCATAGCTACTTCAATATTGAACTGTGATTTAAAACAGGGCCAAATTAGAAACAGACATTATCTTTGGGATCTGTTGTTTTGGAACAAAATATATTACCCCTCAACCAAGAGCTCCACCTTAATCTCAAAGGAATTTTCTTCCAGTAAAGTAATAAAGGCCTCCTCTCCTTAAGTGTTTGAGCTTTAAGAGGCTTTCCAATTGCATAATAAGAGTATTACGTAAGCACTTCATTAATATCATCACATGATGCGCATCCCCTTTGAGACAGCGCAAGGAGGGAGGGAACCAATTGCAGCAAAGCGCTGCAGTGGGACCGCAGAGCAGCACACGGTCCTTGACTATCTCACTGTTCAATGCATTTTTCTTCGGGAAAGACTCTCACCTCCCAGGTCTCACAGCGTCCCCAGCACGCATCCGTGGTGATCCGCAGCGCCTTGCAGCCAGGCTTCTTGGCCAGGAAGGTGAACTCACGCACGGCGCAGCCGATGAAGGTGCGCAGGTCGATAGCAGAGGTCTCTGTGCCTCCATGGCCAGCCGGCAGCAGGAGGAGCAGAGCGCCCAGGGTCACACAGGGGAGCTTCATTCTGAGGGAGAAGGGAGAGGAGGGTTGGGAGAGCCAAGATAGTGGCACGTTGCAGTGGCCAAGAAGCCCCAAGTGCATGGATTCAGCCCAAGAGCTGTGATGCCCCTTCTTCCCCTTGGGCACAACGTTCCCCATCTTTACTCAGCGCAAGAGAAGATAGAAGATGAGGGGTCACCTACTCCCAGAAGGGAAAAGTCTTACTGCAGCAGCCTGAATGCAATGGCCGCTGAAATCTCCAAATTGAAAGCTTATCATGCAGCAAATGCCTTCCTATCAGTTGGGCTGCCCTAAGCTTGCACCAGGCCAGAAGGTGGAGATGGGTATTGGTTGCCCTCTCACTGCACATATACAGAGGTCAGCACCTCCTAAAAGCAGTATTGGTGCTGCCAGCACCAGTACCCCAGCACTCATCGGGTGCTGGGTCATGAACGCAGCCCTTCTTTTCCCTTCCTGCACTCACCACCTTGCAGCCAAGATCTAACTCCACCAAGCCAGTGAGCAGGTTGGACAGGGATGGATGTGGCCAAGGTGACCAGAGGAGGCCCTCTGAACAGCCAACATCAGCCAAATCCCTCTGACACTTGCTGCCTTTCAACCTCAAACCTTTGATGAAGAAAGCAATCAGTCTCTCTGGAAAATTGTCAAAAAGAGAAAGAAATGGAACGTACCTCAAGCTGTAAGCCATCACATCCACTTTATACCTCATATACTTGCCTTGCATTTAAATCCACCTAGAAACCCCAGACTTGACATTTAACTTAGAGGGAGAAGGTTGCCTACTGAATATCGTTTGCAGCCCTGTGCTGAGGATAGATTTCACATTAAAGAGCTTAGACTTTTTATCTTATGTCTCTATGCTCCTGTTATGCTACATGATTTAAATTAGCTAAACTGGAAATCTAGATCAGTCTATGGTTGTGGTGTTTGCCACAGTGAACCCTTCCTACATGTGGCTATGCATGCACTGTAGTCTTGCACATGTTTACCTGTAAGCTTCAACAGTTAAAGAAGAAAGCTAAATTTCTTTATTTTTAATAGCAGTCATTTGAGAGCAAAAAGAGAACCTTCCAAAGAAATTGAACACTTATTCTTCACCACCTTAGCAAAAACCTGCTGCTTTATTCATGACCCAGAGCTGTGACACAGAGCAAACACAGAAGCACACTCACCCAACTTGTTGGAGGCAGATCTCCTTCTGCAGCTTTAAATTGCAGATGGTGTTTCAGGATGTCAGAATGAGCAGCAAGAGATCTGCACAGCAATTTCTGTCAGGTTTGTGCTGACTAGATCTCCTCCACAGCTGCTATGGGGCTGCTTAATTGCACAGATTTATAGAAAGGGTCTTGTCAATCAAGGCAAGACAGAGGCAGATCCATACATGAACGACCCAAGGCATCAAAGTCATTGACTGTGAAGCAAGCTGCTCCTTTCCAACAGTGATTAGCTTAAAGTACATTGTTTCATAACACCAAATCTGAAACAAAAGGACTATCTTGGTGAGTGACATCTGCTAATGAAGTAATGACCGTGCACTGGGGCAAATGGGATCTTCATTTCCACAGCAGATATGCAGTACCTTTGCAAAGAGATTGTAGGCTGCTTCCTGAAATAACCATTACCCTCTTATTTGACGAATACTGAGTAAACAGCCTGAAGGAAAACTTGGCAAATATTTGTGCAAACAAAATTCTGAATTTTTGTCAACAGCATAAGACCTTTTTTATTTGACTGCTCTGTACAAGCAAGGGCAACAGATGGGGGAGAACAAGAACCTGTCACACAGGTAAGCAGCCCTGAGCAAAGGAAATGTGAAAACTTCATCCATTAACTGCACCATGCCAATACAAGTTCCAGCTGCTCACGGGATAGAAGGAAGCTGAGGAACCTTGGTAGGAGGAAACACTTGCCAGACAGTGAGTATCTTAAACATGAGTGAGAGAAATGCAGCCATAACCACTGCAGCCTCAGAAAGTCAGACTCCCCTCCTCACTACTGGAGAATGATTTCCCAGTTCTGGATGCTTTAGCAGCCAAGCACATCATCAAGAGGCCAAGTGTCAGTGGTTACAGACTGCCTGGAGTGCTGCTGATACAGACGGCCACAGTAACACAATCCAAAACTGAGAAGAGAGAATGACAGAGAAAGCTTTGGTTTAGATCAACTCCATCCTATGATGTTTGAGAGAAATGAAATAAAACACCATCTGTTGGTGTCGTAGAATCATAGAAAGGTTTGGCTTGGAAAGGACCTCAACCATCAGCAGGTTCCAAAACCCCTGCCACAGGCAGGGTTGCCAGCCACCAAATCAGACACCAGATCAGGTTGCCCAAGGCCCCATCCAAGCTGGCCTTGAATGCCTACCAAATGTATACTTCTGCTGGGTTGCATTCCAGCCTTCTGTAGTTTGACCTGGAAACCAGCAACAAAGCATTGAGTCAGTGTGGCAGTGAAGCACACAGGAGCAAACAAGGTATGCTGCATAGATGTTCTCGCTGTTTCGGGGTGAATAACCCATGGTTTGGGGTGCTGGTTTCACTTCCAAAGTCAACAGCATAAATTTGGAGTAATAGCAGGACTCAAATTCAGACTAACACCTTGTGGAACCCACAGAATTCTTGCTTTCCTTTACTTTTCAGCTTGAAACAGCCACTGCTTGACTGTTTTTCTTGCTGGCGTGTGGCCCTGCTATTTCCCTGATCAGTAAATTACACTTGGTTGCATGCAAACACACTGATTTGTACGTGGCTTATTATTTGCTCCTGAGATTTACCATTTCTCTCTAAATTAGAAAATGGTGACTGGAAGAAATGGAAGAGGAAAATAATTCTGTTGTCTGCAGACTCAGGCTGACCTCAGAACATTCTGCATAGCCAAGAGCCACTGTCTCCTCTTTAGAGATGACACATGGCAGCAAAGCCTAGATTAGATTCTCAGTTCAGATAAAGCTAACAGGATATGCTGTTGCCAGCACCACCACAACACCATCTTAACTCTTCACCTACTTTCATGCTTTCCTTCCCCAAAGTTACTCCAGGTTCAAGTAAAGGTGAGATGCTGGAGGAGGAGTATGGAATAGAGGAATTGCAATGGATTCCATTGCTCTCACCACCAGCCATGTCCTGGTACCTTTCCTCTTACTGAAACCAACAGAACCTGGGAAAAGCACAAGAGTCAAGGCTACATCAGATCACAGGGAGGTCAAAAGAAACTGCCAGTCTTGCCACTGATCTAAAAATGTTAGCAGTTTTCCACCAAAAAATCTTTTAATTTTCTGCTGGTTTCTTTGACATCACAGACCAAGAATAAAGCTATTATAAAACAAACCTTTATAAACTTTCTTACTAGCAGAGAAACCAGGTAAAACTGAAAATATTGCTCAAAATTTTCCTTTCTTTGATTCCAAAAGTGTGCCAGCAAAAATCATCCCAAGATTACAGCCAGGCACAGGAAATACATGCCAGATGGCAGATCAACCAGCTTTGACAGATTCTTCTTCTATGGATTAGGAAAACAGGGGCTGGACTTCTGCTCTGTGTAATCCATTTTGGATTCACTGACTTCTGCAGAGATTTTGTTCCTGTCTTCACTTGTACTGAAAAACCTTGTGACGTGAAATGAGAGACAAATTGCAAGCTGACCCTGCTCACTTATTTTCTCTCCTGAAAGTCCTGTCTGTTTGTGGGGCAGATGCTGATATCTGAAGGATTTGCTGCACATCTCAATGAAAAGCATGAAGGCTGGCTTTCTTCCAGGTAATATTTTGTTGGCTTTTCTTTTTTTTGAAGGCAAATTAACAGGTACTCCATCTATATGTACACAAGGCCTTTAGTGTACAATAGAAATTTAAAAGCTGCATATTTTTTTCCCCAGCTGGTTCAAATTTATTTGAAATAAAGGGTGACACGCAGATACAACTTCTGAGTGTGTCCACCATTTAGCTTCCCCTTCCTTTTTTGAAACAGGACACAGAAAGAGATCGACTAGGGGAGAACCTGTGTTGAAGATGGTGCATCCATTCATCCATTCAGGCTTGTGCAGCTTTTTCTCTGAATTCTGGACAGGCAGAGCACAGAAATCAAATATGCTGTTGAAGGTGTCAGGGTAATCAGCACTGGTGGCTTGCAGCTTCGTCTGCTCATCATTCAAGATCAGGTGAATCTCAGAGGCTTTGCAAAAGAGCTGCTGGGGAAGCACGAAGCAACCTTACACACTGTGTAACATCAGAGGTTATGAAGTACGTGGGGCCGTAATTCAACCAGCTAAACTTGGGACTCACAGCGACTCCGCTGGCTTCTGGCTGGTTTTGCCAGCAGGGAGGATACCTTGCTCCTAACCTGGCCCTTCACTGACCTGTTGTTAGCACAGGTGCCAGTGTAGAGCCCAATGCACAGCTTGTGCCCACCGAGAAGCTTTCTGGAAAACAGCCTCTCTTGTTCGAAAGACTTCGGGGCTCTCAGCCCAAAACACGGGCACTGCCACAGCTACAGGAGTGCTTGGACATGTTTTGGCTGTTCACTGCCTTTTGGATGAGGCTTCCTGTTCAGTCTTTCTCTATCCTCTCCCCCATGTACTCAATAGCAGGTGTTATTCACTTCAACACCACGTGATGATCCAAAACTAAAAATTACCCAAACAGATTAACATTAACACTCTAATTCTCATCCATGCAGGGACTATTTAATCCCATCCTGTCCCCCAGCAATGATCCCCACTACTTCAAGCATGCCCTAATGTATTTTCCTTTGTACTGAATATCTGTAAGGATTCTTTTTACTTTGTCTGGACACAAGATACTGCAGGTACTACGAGCAATCAGCCTGTATCCTAATTAATTACAAATCCAGACAGAGAAATAAATAGCAAGGGGAAAAAACGCGAGATCTCATACAAAGCAAAGTAGCACTGACAATAACTGTTAGTATTTTGTGTAACATTTGTAGTAAGTTAAAAAAACACCAACTCATCAATACTATTCTAACAAAACAGAAAACAGGTTTTCC